AGTTTAATTTATAAAAAGTTTGCGAATTTTTAACATTTTCGCAAAATAACCATCTCTCGTTAAAGCGTATTCTTTAGGAGGATTTAAAGTCTGTAATTGATTCCCCAAGTTAGGATTAAGTTGAAAAGTAAGGATTAATCACCTTGATTCTTTTCCCAGCCGCTCTTACGCATATCTCTCCTTTGACTATAGATCTTTCAGCCCTTCGATAAAAGAAAGAAAAAGAAAACGTCGATAATAATTGTCCACGTAATACGCACGTTACTTTTCGTCTCGAATGAATGTTAAATCAAACATGTTTTTTATTTTTTATTCTTAGAGAAACATTCCTACAAACGAAATAAGCAACGTGAATTTGGCAAATGCGAAAACGTAAATGTAAATTCTTGGGAATATCAATAATATTCATAGAATTGTGATAGTGCGACCTCCTCGCCGGTCATGTTCTCCTGTTGCTTTTTCGGTTTTGTGGGATATATGTAGATTTCGCCAATTTAAATTCTTATCAATGAAAGTTTTGGAATTTTTAATAATGCGACCTCCTCGTCGGTTATGTTAACAAAGTATCAGGAGTACATGATCGGCAAAGAGGTGGTGCTATTTGAATTTCCAAGAATTGGTATTCCGAGAATCTCAAACTTCAAATCGTGGAAATCGGGAATCTTGAAAACTGGCAAAATATCAAGAGAACATGATCGGTAAAGAGGTGGTACTATCTAAAAAATCCCGCATATTTTATAGTATATGGAAAATGGCTTTCAGTTAGATTTCGCTGAAGTTAAAATATGTTATTGCCCAGACCTTCCTGATAAAAAGTGTCAACGGGCGCAACATATTTTCATTTCATTGAAATCTAACTGATTGCGAAAGCCATTTTCCATATAAAATGTGCTTTGCAACGTAAGCTTGTCTCTTAATTTCGGCGTTGGTATTTCACGTCGCGAAGCACCTGCAGGGATTATCATCATTTATTCCAGTAGTTTTAATTTCATTAACATATGTAATAGAACATTGTTAAACGCGGAGCGTTTAGCCCCATTATATCATTAAATGCGATTAAAGCCGTGAAATGTGAAACAGCATTAATCTGTTAATTGAAAGGATGTAATAAGGATTTTAATAATCGTCTCGCGGGAAAATAGATTATAGAGAAGCATAACCGGCGCAATATGCTTATGACAATATTCGTTACATACTAGATTCATTGCGCGAAATAAGACTGAATAAATTATTAACGGTATTGTTGTATTTATAGTCGTTATTGAATCTTATCTTAGAAGCATCTGAATGGATATTCAGAATGGAGACACGTAAAACGTTGATAATCACATAATCACGTTTAAATTAGAGATTGCGACTATTCAACTCGAAAGCTGACTAATTATACGTGTGAAATTCGATTTGAAGTTCAAGATACAAATTAAAGCAGCAATTCACTAGCTGTCGCCAAGAATTGTGATTCTGCGTTTCTTGGAACTTTGGAAAATTCTTGAAATTAAAATTATAATCTATTACATTAACAAGTTGTACGTGCGATTTATCGAGTTTATGCTTAACTTCTGTCTTTGGTCCAATTATTGATCAAAATTACAAACATTTAAAATCGATTTCGAACAAGTCGTCTTAAAGATCTTAGAGCAAGACGTCTCAAATTCCTCTTTAAACTGACATATTTATGCATATTTTTCAAATCGTCTACGTCTGCGAAATTTGAAGACGTTTTCAGTCGACGTCAAGAACATTCATGTTTTCTGAGACTCTGTTCAGTTATGCAAAGTTATTCGGAGATTCACTAACAAGCAGGAAAATATTATACATGTTAGAGATCATTATTTTGTAAGCTGACGAATTAACATAAATTACTATCATCGAACAAGACTTTATGGAGAGAAGAATACGTAAGTCTAAACCTATCAATCAACGGATTTGGGGACTCCAACCATTTGTAGCTTCAAAGATACGAATAATTCACGGATTTAGCGATGTGTAAAGCAATTTGCACGTCTGTGGATTTGCGGTGAACGAACCTAGCGATCTATGGCTTGAGCCATCTACGAATTTAAATCTGGCCTAGCTGTCTGTGCAACCATGAATTTATGAATCTGATACTCTATAAACTTAGCGATATAAATTTTTCCGTCTACCATGAAATGGTTTTCAAACTCGGGTAATTCTGCTAAAGTACTTTTTCAATACAATTTCACAATTCACATTTTATACTCTTAGATTTTTTAGCAGCTCGATCGAAATGTAAAAAAATGCTACTTATCCCTAAAAGTTTTATTCACCAATAACAACAGTTGAACTGTTCAACGATGTGCTATTTTAATACCGTCTTCTTCCTCAAATAATTTCGTATTTTTATTCTAACGGCATACAGTTTAAATAGCAAATATTAAAGTCGACTTTCTGGATTTTGCAAGTATTTAATGTCCGTTTCTACCAAGTGGATTAACTTTAATCTCGGTTTACTTACTTTTCATCTCATTTCAGTTCTAAGAGTTCGTAAAAGACAAAAGTGAGTTAAACCACGATTAAACTTAATCTGTATCGGTAGAAATGGACGTTAATGGACACGTTACATACAAGTAGTTGCAATAATAATATGTATCAGTAATCAATAAATCAACTCGATTCTAACGCACGCTTTTGCGGAAGTTGAAAACGAGATGAGTGATATATAATTTCATTTCTTTCATCAATAATACACACGTATACGTCTTTGCATCGTGAGCTATTTGTCCGACCGACAATCCTTGTACCGTTCACACGCGTCAGAAAGCGATCGCGGCGAACACGCCTACGAACACGCGGTAAACGCGGATGCGCTTGCGGACCGATCTGATATCCACGATACGGTATGATTGCAAGCGAGCGATCTCGAAAAATACGGCCTACCGTGACCCGCGCGATGAGCACGGGCAATGTACGGCAGGCGCTCATGTAATATATAATGTGTATGGTGCACATAACGAATATCTTACGCGGCCACCAGAGCGTTTCCTTACACCGTTAACCGTATCGAAGTGGGTTCTCGGTTCTGGTCGCGTGCTGGTCACCTTGTTCCTTACCAATGGCAACGTAATGGCGTTGTAAACGTCGCCGGCACCGAGGTCGTGCAGGCCCTTTTCACCGCGATAATTAATGCGAGCGTCGCCGACGAAAGGCGGACGTCCCGGGTATCGTAACGTAGATTAATTGGACGCTTAATCGCTTTTATTGTATCGCGTACTTGGCGCGGAGGCCCCGGAAGTATAATAAACGTATATTCCATTCTATATTTTGCGCCTTATGCAAGGCAAACGACCAGGGGCAGCTCTCGCGCAATACATATAAAGTACCAATAAAGGGGCGATTAAAGGGAAATAATTATTCGCGCGCTCGTGCCGCTTGTGTAGGTGCGCCGCGAGTTTAAGTGAAATAATTGAAACTCTTGAATAAATGCGACGGTACATGCCGGCGATAAAATCGATAATTGTCCGCTGTGTATAAGCTGTCGTTACTTTTTCTTTTCTTTTCTTTTTAAAGAAGCCGACTGAAGACAATTTGCAATGAGTCCCGAGAAGTTTTTCACAGCGTGACTTGCGAGAGCAAATGTCTGAGTGAAATTTACACTTCCAACGCAAGAATTCATACGGAATACATAGAACTTGATTGTTAATATTATAAGATATTACAAACCGTAATTATATGTAACTTTCAATATTACTACATTATTCAAATTGAGTGAAGCTTATTGTCGCCAGTGCCGAACTCTTACATATAGAAATTATATGCAGAAAATTATAATTTAGTAAACGAAAAGAGTTTTTTTAAAGAGTCGACTTAAAAAAATCCCCTTTGTTTACTAAATTATAATTTTCTACATATAATTCCTATACGTAAGGGTCTCGATATTATAAATGTATAATTTTGGATATTACTAGAGACTGGATGTAAATCTAGGTTAAGATCTTATTATCCACTTCCCAAACGTAATCCACAGGCGTTTTCAATAAGTTAAAATTTAACAGATGATTGCTATCCCAACAAGATTTTATCTTATTAATGAGAATCCTCCTCTCGTAGATTTAAATAATCAACTCGCCCCGAACGTTTCGTACGACGACTCGGTTACAGGAGTAATCCTGACCCGGTATTCGCGGCGCTCGCGCGGAAAGAAATTCAAATCGATTAATGCGTTTAAGCAATTTCGGTAAACCAGGGCAACGGGGTTTCCTCCAAGTTAGAAAGTAAATCTGGTTAAAATTGAAAATAATGCGCGATCCGCTATAGTGCCGCGAGCGCGACTGAACGGCAGTAAATTGCCGTGAAAAAAAGGATGTTGGCTGCATAACAGTTATAGAACAATACGGTTGTTAGGTTTTAGCCGCTATTTATGCGAGTTCACTCCGCATAATTCACGATTCTGTTTACGAGCCGAACGCGTTACGCGTACGTTATCGCGCTGCTCTATACTTATCATACGGTACTATTTACTCTGGACTATCCGCTGTAAGATCGTTTTAGCGTCGTCCAGCGCAGCCGTTTGCAAAATGTAACGGTGCGCTTCTAAAATATTGCTCCCAGATGAAGTGTACGTTGCAACGCGACACCGAGACCTAAAATAGCTTCGCTCCATTAAGATGCAACGCGGAACGTTCCCGTGCACTCGCAAATTTTTCCAATTACAATCGATCCTCGAGACAATCGCGCGAAAATGAGCGAAGCTCGAGAGAGCGCGCGCGGAGTGAAATAAGACAAATTCTCAGACGTCGTTTGACAAAGGAATTTTTCGCGCGCCGCTCGCGGAAGACCGAGAAATGTTAAACGTCCTCCGGGGCTGCAGCTCGTTGAGCGGAGCGACAGTTTCGAGAAGTGAGGAGGCGATCGGTACGAAAGAAAGGCCGGCGGGATGGGAAGCGCAATTCACTCCCGCGCGAGCCCTGAAATCTCCCTCTCGCCGCAGCCCTCTCGTCCGGGCGCGGATGCTGTATCTCATCGGTCGGCTCGCGTTTTAGGTCGCCGCCGCCGTTGCCCAGGATTATGAGGTCTCGGACATTCAGTGCAGCGGCGCGGGATCGGCGGCCGATCTCCTGACAGCGAAGATCAAAAGGCCGGTCGGCTTCAGAGGCACGCCGCTCTTCGCGGACGACAGATCGGCGAACCCGCTCGCCGACATTCACTGCCAGATCAGGCCGGACCCGAACGATCCGCAGGAGGATAACTACTTCCTGAAGGTGACTGACTTCTCCCGATGCGGCATCCTCAAGAGAAACGTGAGTCATCGCGGGCGAGATCGAGCGAGTTACGCGGAACGCCATTTTTACCGGACGGTGCCCCCACGACGACGACCCTCCGTTCCTCCGGGCCTTGTAACGACTGACGTTGCACAAACGGAACGGCAAAGGCTTTGCGGGTCGCGATCGGCCGATAGCGCGATTCTAATTCGCAATTGATTCCCTCTCGGGAGCCGCCGCTATCGGGCATACCAGCGAAACGCTTTGTGCGTCCAATCGGATCGTATCAGGCGGTCGGGTGCCGTTATAATATTTCGAGAAGAGATAGCTAACGACGCTCGGATTAGCCCGGCCGGTTCATACGTCCAAGTTTAACTGTACTGTTCGTATAATTCCGCGCCTCGCTGCTACAAACGCTCCATATTTCGAGTCCCCACCTCGGCACGGCTCGCGGTAAACGTTCTTGTAAAAATCCCGGGAATATTACGCCGCTGGACCACCGCGTAACTCGCAAAAATCTCGTTATCAATCAATCCCGCATGCAATGAGCTATTATTATCGCGATCGATCCTGCCACCAGGGATTCATCCACCTGCGGGTGTGGTTCCCCGCCTTTCCCGGCGTGGTGATGCTGGCCGACCAGGAGCTGATCCTGATGTGCCGACCGCCCGAGCCGACGCTGCTGAGGCACAAGGCTGCCGGCTTCGCCGGCACTTTGTAAGTCACACGCATTCCGCGCACAAGCGATATCGCCTCGAAATCTCGCGGGTAATGGATGAGCATTATTTCCGCCACGCCGCGCCGCGTTCGCGTTTCGCGTCCGCCGAGGAGCGGCATTTCTGCGCGAGTTCCTGCCTCGAGGGAACGGTTATCCGCTTATTTAATTATCATACTTCATAATGGTGATATAGACGTACGAGCACCGTCAAAAGGAGGTATCGCGAACGTATCGCAATTGGACGCAGCCGCGCATTAAGAGGATCCTTCAGCCATCTTTTTTACCGACACAGTCAAATGTACTTTTTGCGCTTGTAATTCTTTTTATTAGCTTTCATGCACAAAATAATACCAGGATAAGTTGCGGACCGCGTAGCAGAACATTTTCATGCTTGAAACACTCGGTTTAGAAGTCTAATAAAAAAGATATTGATATTTGAAAGCTTCAATTCGTACTTCTAACTAAATTTGAAATTGGCTTTATAAAATTGCAAAATTCTTCCACACAATTAAAGTACGCATAAAGACAACACCGGGGACAGTAGACTTTAGATTAAAAAAAAAGAGAAATTAAAACTATCACTTTATAAATAATTGAGGTTATGTAACTATAATAAATAAATACCAATATAGAGGAAGCTTTGTTTTCGTGAAAAAATTTTTTATCCAGTTTTCTTTTAGAAAATGTTCTGCTATGCGGTTGCGCAACTTATCCTAGCACTATTTTGTGCATAAAAGCTAACAAAAAGAATTACAAGTTTAAACATTATATTTAACTGTCGGTAAAAAAGATGGCTGAGGGATTCTCTTAAGGAACCAAGCGCCGCTCTCGTCACTTTTAATCCCGCATTGCAAAGTGATCGCGAAGGCCTTTTAGTTTATTATGCAAAAATGATCCAACTCTTATCTGTACAAAACTGCATACGGTACATGGAGTAATATTTGGAATTATAGCGTGGCCCATTATGTGTATTTGAGATAATGTTGGCGCAGAATTAAATTCCTAAAAATGTAACAAATGCATGTAACACGTGGAATTATATTTGAAGAGGATTATAGCTCGGTCATTGTGATAACGTTGGCGCAGAATTTTATGTCTAATGTTTCGCGAAATTTGCTCGGAAAAGTGAGATTCTGAAGTTGCAGCTCCGCAGAACTGCGCTCAATTATTTTTTATCGTTTACTTGGACGATCTGTAAGAATAACCGCAGTACCCTAAGGACCGAGACTACCTTCGTCTTACCGCGACGAAACCGCAGACGATACATTGTGCATGTAAATTAATCGCTCGGAACGTTAAGGGAAGGAACGTACGAATTTTTAATTTATATGAAAGATATTTGTGGCAAAGATATAGAATTAATGATAGCTGATAAAACAGCCAGAGAGAGAACGCAACGTGCTGAAGCGACGACGCGCGTCTGCTTTAAAGGGTTAATCGTTTCAGTCCGCACGGCGCCAGGGTATCCGGCGTGGTTGAGGAGACGCCGGGCCGGCTCGAGTACGAGGTGGCCCTTTATCGCGAGGCGACCGGCAACGTGTCCGATCATTCGCAGACGGTCGATCAGGCGGTGCCGATCGGCACGAAGCTGCAGCTGCGCGCCCGCATCAGCCCGGACAGCGCCTGGGGCTACATCAAGCTGCTGGAGGTGACGGTCAGCCCCGACCCGGATCAGCCCCACGCCCCCGGTAGCGTCGTCCTCGTCAAGGATGGCTGCAGGAATCGCGATTTCGCGTCCATCATTCCCCACCAGCCGGCGCGGTACCGCGAGCGCAAGAACGAGGTCTTCCTCGACTTCGAGGCCTTCCTGCTGAGCTCGATGAGGGAGCGCTCCACCCTTTGGATCCACTCGCAGATAAAGGCCTGCATGGAGCCGCAGGACTGTCAGCCGGTAAGCGACAGTGATTTCCACTGACGTTCATTTTCGCGAATCCGGCAATATTCGAATCCATGCGCGGAAAGACCGGCTAAGGCAAAAGTAACTAAAATTGAAATCTTCAGAAGATTACTTGACCATGTCTGGCAAATTTTTATGTTCAAACTCACAACGTTTCGACCATTGTTTGTGGTTTAACTTCTCGAGTGACGATTGTGTCAGCTTATAAGATTTCCTCCTGTCATAAAAGTAAAATGTTGCCGCATAAACGTTGTTTTGTGTTGCAACATTCATTAAGTTTGCTGCACAAGGTTGTCTTCACTACTTATGGATATGACAGCCACAGATATAGCTGTCCCAAATATTACTATTTATTGGGGTTGCGCCAACCCTAATTAGACATGTGGCAACAATATTGGTCTCTCCGTGATGGCATTAAATACATCGGTACGTCGTGTCAATAAAATTCATGGCAAAAAGAAAACGCGCGATAGTTTCGAAATATAGTACGCGCATATGAAATGACGTGCATACGAAAAATCCGTTATTATAACGGACGTAGGCGTGGCATTCGAAGGTATAATCGAGATATCTCTCGTACGGGAATCCAAAACGTGGCAAAATCTAGCGCTTCTATAAATTTGATATAAGACGAGAAAATTCGTAGATCGAGAATTCGCGACGGAAGAGATATAAATTGCTGCATCCAGACGTTATCTGTGTCTCGCTCTCTTAAATCAGTGGATCGTCACTGAAAGGCAGTGAATAGTCACTGATCACCAGTTATAAGCGTACCAATACGAGATCGCAGTGGTATATATTTATAACGGTGATCAGTGATAATCCACTGATTGACTTTAAGAGAGCAGTCTATCATTTTAATCTCTTTGTCTTGGCCTACATCCATGTATGACATCGCCTGCATCATAGAATTGCAATTTTCTCATTTTAATTGTAACAGTAACGCGTCCACGACATAGCGACATGTCTCTCTAATTAGATACGGCAAACGCCGTCGTCTGTCGCGTATCCTGCTAGACCCTTGTTTTCACAGGACTTCTGTCTCGATCTCTTCGAGCCTTCGGGACACGGGAAGAAGAGGAAGAGGGCCGTCGAGGCCAGTGTGGAAGTACTGGGCGAATTCCTCCCGAAGGTTGAGCGTTTGATCAAAAGGTACAACGACTCCACGCCGTACACCAAGTTCAAAGAAAATATCGAGTACACGGTGATGATGCCGGACGGTGAGTTCCATATCTTTTTTTTCCCCAAGAAATTAAATCTTGTTGACTCTGCAGCCGAGATTAATCTCTCCGACGTCAACTCTCGCGGGACTCCGCGGCAAGATTCGCGAGAGGCAGAGATCACCGTGTAACTGGGATTCTGTAGCGAATGCATCGAGATTAATCCTGGAGCAGAGGTCGGCAAGAGATCCGTGCTTTCGAACGGTCCGCGTAGTCATTACTTATTAATCGTTGCGCGCATTTCGGGACGCGATAATAAATTCAAAATATAATAATTATTATGACAGTTCGCGATTTTCTTGTTTCAAAATGTAACAACAATTAATTATTATATTTCAAGTTTCGCTAATAAAAAAGGATATTTCCTCTTCCGCCACGTAACTACATATATGACGTCCCCTCGGTCTCTGCCTCTTACAATTAGCCGACAAAGCCTAATATTTATCCGACTCTACGGAAAAAGTTTGCCGGCTAATCTACGTAACGGGAAAGAGCGGAGGAACGTAAGACGATCGTTATAATTCTAATTAATATTCCCCTCATTACCGTAGACCTGTACGACAAAGTAACGGCCGGCCTCGAAGGTAGCTGCGGAAATTTTCTCTACGTGGCGACGGGACTGGGTGCCCTACTAGTGTTATCGGCCTTTATCATGTGCTACTTGGCATCGCGTCTTCACAACCTGTCCTCGACGGTGCAGCAGAGCAAGTCGATCGACGAGCTGGTCAGAGACCGCACCAGAAAATATTGCGACACCACGCCCGGCTATACCGGTCGCTCGACCATGCAATAGAGCGACGCGCGACTGAATATATATATATATATATACATATATATATATATATATACATAAATCACTCGCGTCAAATCACTCCTTACAAAGTTGCACGATGTAACACGCGCGGATATCGTATCGTGTTATCGTAATTAACGTTACTTGAAGACTAGGATACTTATTTGCGCGAAGGAGGGCAATGTCACGTTTACGAGCAGCTTGACTCCCCGCTTGAAAAAACGCGAGATGTGTCTCGACTTAATCATCCGGTTGATACGGCACGATACGATAGTCGCGTTGCAACTTGGTCGAGGAGCGATTCCGGCCGCGAGCTCTGAATTCACGTTCGGACCAGCGAACGACGCCGCCCACCGTGGAGACTAAAATAGTTCTCGTAACGAGGAGCGCCCGGTGGCAAATGACTGTGCTTCCTGCGTAGAATAAAATCGACTTAACGACAAATGTCCGAGTGGAAATAAATTGGGAATTCGCGAAAAGAATTTCAACGTGGAATATCTGCTTCGCGGCGCAGATATCATGGACTTAGACGACGCGTCTCACGAGGAAGCACTTTTTTCATTTTTCTACATAGACACAAGCGCACGTAGAGCCTCTCTGTCTCTTGCCCAATTTTTCACTCTTTTATTTTCTAGTACAAACGGCGTTTAAGAACAACTTCTGCCTCGTACGATTGCCGATCATTTGACTGCTTATCGGGCAGGCTGGACGAGAATTGCGAAAAATTGAGTTGTACTCAATCGCGTCTTCCTCGCGAACTTTATTCGTTTATCAGTTAGCTCGCAACGCACCATTCTCCAAATCTTTCGCGCACACGATGCAATTTCCGCCGAAAGTTTCACGATTTATCGATATTGCTCAAAACAATAGTCTCGCCACGACGAGTCTTTCAAACGTGCAATGCTATCACGTGACCTGATGAAGCGAGCGGATCGCTCGTGTAATAGGATAATAAGTACCCTCGCCGAATGCGAAGGGGCTCGAGCGGGAACATTTGGGGTGGTTGCACGAATTTATCTCACCTTGTAAATAAACACAATTACGGCTCGCATTTTACAGCATAAGTTTTAACAGCGCAGATGTTTTTTACGTATATTATTACGAGAATCCATATATAATATATCGCAATTAAATAAAAGATATCTTAGAGGAGGTCTACGACTCTCGAGTTCTTGAGACAATCCGTTTCTACTCGTAGTAGAGGGACGAGAATTAATAGGAGAGAAGAAAGCGAAGAAAATTAACTTGTTCGCCGAATTGTTATATATTCAGCTGAGTATGTTGGAGCAATCAATATGCGCCTGTGCATTGCACGTTCAATAACTTCGCGTGTCTCTCGAAATTATTTAAAAAATGCTCTAAACAAAATATTGAAGTTTTATATATTTAATAATGCAGTGCGAGAGAGAGAGAGAGAGAGAGAGAGAGAGAGAGAGAGAGAGGAGAGAGAGATTTCATTTTAATACTTAACGGAAACACGCACTACAGAATTATACATATTGTTTATTAATATTTCGGCCACGCATAAATAAATCGAACAATAAAGTGAAATATTATATTAATATCGATTTCGTATAACACTGCATTAACCTTCGTACAACTAATGTATAGAACTGATTTTTTGCTAATGCTGTTCGGATCCGTATTGACCCACATGTAATGCAGTTTATCGCAAGGATACATTAAATAAATCACGTTGTAGAAAAGGGTTCGAGAAATATTGTAGATAAGATAGTTTTTTTTAATTAAAAGTTGGTAATTTTTGTGGTTTCAGAGTCCAGCGTAACTCTGAAATTTAATATTTTAATGTGTATTTAATATACACTGAGAAAGAAGTTGAATAAAAAATATTTCTTTATCCAATTAAACGCTGCGGTCACGGATTGTCAAGCAAATATTTATTAATTTACGTAAAGATTTTTCAATTTGAAAAATATATATATTTTGATAAATTATGTATGTTTAACAAAAAAACATATTCCTATATTTGAATTAAAGAAATACTGCTAACTAAACGTATTTAGTTAACAATTTTTTATATAATATTTATATATAATAGTAGGTATATGTACATATATATTGAAGATGAGTCTTGCGTAATAAAACGTAAAAGTAAATCACGGTAGCGTCCGGGGCGTTTTCGCGCGCCAAAGTGTTACGCCGACACTAATTCCTCGGGAGAGAATCGCCGCCTATTTTTTCCTCATTAATACGCGGCTATAAATAAAAGATCTTGCACGAAAGAGCAGCCGTGAAAGCCAATTCGTAGCCAGGCGATACGTTTAATAACAACACTTTCACGATGTACTCGGAGCTCGTAAATCAACCGTATTCCACCTGCGCTATCGCTCCGTCGAATCTGACTCATCCACTTTCGCATAAACATTTTGCATTCTGGGGCGGGGTGATTTCCTTAACCCATTTCCTCACTTTTACATTCTTTTTCTTTTTCCGTCTAGTAGGAGATCCTACGGCGGATATAATCTGCGAAATTAATCAGGTCAGATCGAGTGTTACACGGTGCTTCGTGAGTTGCACGCGATCTCTCGACTCTCGCGGCGGTTCTTTTTTCATCGGAGGCATCTTGATTGCGTCCCATTTCTCGTTTCCTTTTGACTCGCTACACTTTTAGCATTGAGCGCTCTGGTTAAATTACAGGCCGAAGTTACAATAAGAAAATCACGGTAACTATTTTTTTTATTTTGAGTTACAACAGTTTGCGTCACAAAAATGTCGATGGGAGTTCTTTCCGCGAGGACGATCGGTTAGTAAATCATGTTCGTGGTTTGAAACTAATTAATTAATTAATTAAATATAATTAATTGAAGAAAACGCCATTTTTCACTCAAACTTAGAAGCTTAATTCAAGTTTTCATATATTCTTTCCAACTGAACTAAACTACGCACCGAATGGATTTTGTCAGTTTTAAAACAGAACTCCTTGTTGGGACATTCAGTAAAAAATTGTTCATGCATTAATGTGAATAAATATATAGAATTATATAAAAATATACATCAATTATATCCATACATATTTTTACATTGTCTATTCTATATAATTTTATGCAATTTTACACAGTTTTGTATAATTTCATAGATTTATACATGCTTTCATTCGAAAAATTTTTAATGCACAAAATTGCTTATTTATAATTATATGTATATAATTGTGTACAATGGTACAAAGTTATAAATAGTTATAAAGGTGCAATTTTTTCCCTTTTAAAAAGTTTTCATATAGACACATGTTTAAATCTATAAAATTATATACAGGGTGTCGGATTTGATTTGGACCACTCCAAAGATTATAGTAGATTGGGTCAAATTGAGAAGAAAAGTTATATACCATTTTACAAAATCCGTAATTATTATCGTGTAATTAAGAAAAACGTAACATACAGCACAGGTAGATTCTGAGTATATACGCAGTATATCGCAAACGTAGATTGTGTATATCCCATTAATATTCGAAATAGTACCACGATATTTTGAGAATCTACGGAGGATGTTTCTATGTCTGCCCTAGAAGTCTACTCAGTATATACTGAGAATATTTCTTGGTATATCATAAGTATATTAAATAAAATATTTTGATCACACAATTGATTGCCTGGTCAGGTTTTCCATATCAAGACCTCACGACTTGCCCCTTGTTACACCTTATAATTTATAATAGGAGGGTAGTAGGGCATCAGTTGGTTTCCTATTAAAAGTATTTAATTTTTAACCTAATTTTTAAAGTGTGTTAAATTATGTAATCATCAAAAGTATATTCAGGTCATTGAAGTTTATCCATGATCGAGACAACCAGCTGTCAGATCATATCGGCTCGCGTCTTATACTAATACAGAATGATTTTTACTTACAAGAAAGGCTAACGCGCGGTCGCCACGTCGCGGAAGTGAGTGGTTACTACTACTACATGTTCTGAAAACGTACGAGAATATGCAGAAAATAATATACTACTAAAAATGTTATAGGGATGATCTCAGTATGTTAAATACAGTACGTTTTACAGTATAGTTTACCATATATTCTGATATACAGGGTGTCAGACTCGTCACGCATTGAGTGACGAGCGACGTGACTCCACCTCTTGCTACCGTGTCCTAGGAGATATAAAGAAATAAATCATTTTGCATGCCTACCGGGTCCGGCCTTCCGCTCCTTGTGCGTTCATTCGACCAGACGTTTCTATCAATTACGCGATAACTATTGCTAATTTTGCACAACGGTACGTGACTTCTCTTCTCAGTTTAACCCAATCTACCGTAATTTTTAGGTTGGCTACAAACGAGTCTGACACCCTGTACAGGGTGAGTCACAACATTTGTGCCAGAGCTCGTGAGAAGGTAGAACGGATCGAGATGAACAGAAAAGTCCTGAACCATTTGCAATTTTCGCAATAGTTAACGAGTAATAAATTATCGAAAATCGTCGTCTTTGCCCTGCCCACTGTCCAATTC